GCGCGATGTTTTCGTCGCGCTGTGATGACGTCAAATGCGCGCTTTTGTCGAGTGCAATTTTGTCCTCCGCGATTTTGTGGTGGAACCCGTTTAACTCAGGATATACCCATAAACTTTATACTCTACTTTGGCCAACACTGGATTTTAGGCTGAAGTGATGAGGAGAGCTTGTCAATTTTGGTTAATTTTGTAGGCAGTGCTATACCATTAGGGCAGATGAGAGATAAATGGAGAACCATCTGATGGAAACTATAAAGACAACAGGACTTGCTTGTTTTTACAGTTTCCTCATTTACGAGGAGAGAAACATTACTGACTCACAAATTAAGCTTCAGGTTCCTAATCAGGCATATTCATAGAGAGGGATTTCCCGGACAGAAATAAAACAATGTGGGATACATGACTCTTGTGTTTGTATTGTATGCAGAATAGGATTCATCAGTTTCTGATTCAGTTCTTGCTAAACCCAACTGCGAAGGTAAACAAATACTCGACTTACAACCACAATTGAGTCCAACATTTATGTTGCTGAACAAGACAAGTGAATTTTGCCTCATTTTACAACACTTTTGCCACAGTTGTTAAGTGAATCACTGCAGTTGTTACGTTACTAACACAGTTAAGTGAATGTGGTTTCCGAACACACTTGGCTTCTCAGAAGGCCGCAAAAGGTTATCACAAGGACCCAGGATACTGCAACCATCATAAACACGGTATTTTTCGGAGTATAAGATGCTCCTTTTTCCCTCAAAAAAGAGGGTGAAAATCTGGGTGTGTCTTATACACCGAATACAGCATTTTTGGCCTCCCGAAACCCCACCCCCTTTGCAAAAATGGCCATGTATAGCCTTTAGGAGGCTTCCAGAGTATTCCTTGGAGCTGGGGAGGGCAGAAATGAGCGAAAAACAGAACGTTTTTTACTTATTTTTGCCCCTCCCCAGCCCCCAGGAGTACTCCACAAGCCTCTTAAAGGCTATGCATGCCCTTTTTTTTGACAAAAAACAGGCCGTTTTTTGGGAGGTCTACAGAGAACAAAAACAAATTCTTTAAATTTGCCTCTTCAAAATCTTGGTGTGTCTTATACCTGGAAAAATACGGTACATGCCAATTGCTAAGCGTCTGAATTTTGATCACATGACCATGGAGATGCTGCAATGGTTGCGTGAAGAACAGTCATGCCACTTTTTTCAGTGCCTTTGTAACTTTGGTCACCAAATAAATGATTGTAAATCGGGGACTGCAGTAGTCTCTTGGAACACTGTACAGCAGTGTTCAACCTATGAGCAAAACTGGGACTAGAATTTTGATTGTTAAGTGATGTGGTTGTTGAGCGAGTTGTCATGTGACCAGACCTGATTTTATGACCATTTCATGGAGGTTGTTAAGTAAATCATGTGACTGTTAATTGAATCACACGGTCATTAAGTGAATCCAGCTTCCCCAATTGACTTTGCTTGTCAGAAATAGGCTGGAAAAGTCACAAATTGTGATCGTAAGATTGCAAGATGCTGCAGCTGTCATAAACGCAAGACAGCTGCCAAGAGCCCAAATTATAATCCCATGACCAGGGTGTGCATGCATACATGTGCAATAGTTGTAACTTCAAGGATGGGGTATAACTCACTTTTTCCTAGGTCTAGACAACTTTGAACCGTGATAAGAAAAGTTGCATGATTTCAAAGCAGTTAAAACTCCTCAAGCAGTCTACATAGGGTGCCATGGAATACAGGCCCAAGACCTATCTGGTTCATGGGCAAACCCCACTAGGAAATTCTTCAGACGTGCCCTTTAATTTCTCTGGGGCTTGTATACAAGAAGCAAATTAGATTGCCTGCCTCCTCTCAAGCTACCAATTAGATTTTCCTTTTAAAGTACCAAACATTTTGATTATCCTAAACCAGGGGTTGGCAAACTTAAACACTCAAAGAGCCATTTGAACTCATTTCCCACAGAAAAGAAAACACCAGGAGCCACAAAGATCCTAACCGGAAGCCCCCTGTTCAATTCTGGAGCTGACTGGAAGTTCAGTTCCCTCACCATAGAGTCTCCTCCTAGCGCGGCGTAATTTTTCCTCTACCTGTCATAACCGAAAGCCCTATCAATTGTGGAGACAACTGGAAAACCCTTCCCTTGCCATAGAGTCTTCTCCTGGCGCACTGTGCTTCTCCCCCCTCCCCCTCCCCGGAAGCTCCTCTCAAAATTGTGGTGCCGACCTGTGACAGAGCTGCAGCAGAGGGTGGAAAGAGCCACATGCGGCTCCAGAGCCGCAGTTTGCTGACCCCTGTCCTAAGCAATTTGGTTTTCTGAAATCCCAGGATTTCATTATTTATTTTATTTTATTATTTATTTTATTTTATTTTATTTTATTTTATTTTATTTTATTATTTTATTTTATTTTATTTTATTATTTTATTTTATTTTATTTCATTTCATTATTTCATTTCATTTCATTTCATTTCATTTCATTTCATTTCATTTCATTTCATTTC